TTTTAGCATGTATTTTTTTACTTCAGCAATAATCTAAAATTTTCTTAGATGTTTTGAGTGTTGTAGAAATTATTTGCACTTTTTTGGATGAAATGAAGCATTTCGTTCCGAAGGTGGCTTTGCTCTCTTACTAATCAGAATGAAAGGGAAATAAGATGTTTTGTCTGTACTCTGTAGGTCTTATAGCTTCTGAGGTATCTTGAGGTCGAAGGTTCGAGCCTCTCTCACCTCAATTTTATTTACTGTTATATTAACCACCTTAAAGAGCTGCTTTTAAGAGCTCTCGTTATAAAAAGAGTAGTAATGATTAATGAATATAATTAAAGAAGCTTTAATTATTTATTTTATTAATACCAATTATACATTTTCCTTTCTTAAAATACAAAAAAGGGGGAATTTGATAATTAACAAGAGGGAGAGACCTTGAGAAAATTCTTTGTCAATCTCATTGTGATAACATTTTTGTTTTGTTATTGGGAGAATATAATTAATTAATTAATTTTTCTTTCCCTCTCCACCACCTTCTTCCTCCTATCATCTCTACCACACAGACAAACCAAAAGGAAACACGTGGCGTACATCCCGTTCACCTTCCAACTAGTCTTGGGCGCTTGATGCAAAATCACCTTATGCAATACCGCCACGTAAAAATGCAACCCAGCGGCGTAGCCGACCAAGGTCTGGCCCAAGGTCAACGTCCTAGAACCTAACCCAGACTCGGTCGAGAAAACAAGAACCACATGCATCAAAAGGATCAACAAATAAACCACATATCCAAGTGTCTGAAACGCCTGCAGAGCGACGTAGGTGGAGGGCCAAGTGACGTAGAAGAACTTCAATGGCTCGAGTCCAGTAACGAGGGAAGTGAGGCAAAGGATGGAAAAGTAAATCCAGAGGTAAACTTGGATGATAACGATCATCTTTTGGAGAGAAAAGTAGGATTTTATGTGACTAAAAAAGAGGGAAACTAAGACTAAAATGATTACAATGGAAGCGCATGAGATTGCAGCGGCGACCGTAGGGGCATGCTTGTTGCCTACGTATGGTTTGAATTGCTTCGTGAATAGTTTGTTGTACTTGGTAATGTAAGCTTTTGAGTTTGTCGAAATTTTTTCAAGGTCTGATAAGGGTTTTCCGGAACTTGGTTGGGAAATCTCGGAACTCGGACATTAAATCGGATTCATGGTGATTGAGCGTTTTGTCGGTCAGTGTTTTTGAGGTATTTGTTTTGTTCTTGGAGGAGTTTGAGGCTTTTGAATTGAAGGGTTTAGAAAGCTTCCTATGGTTGTTAATGGCACCGGACAAGGTTGATTTAATAAGTTCGGTTTGTTTTTTCGTGGCTTCTTATTCTTCAACCTCTGGCAACCTTCGTTTAGGACCAAACCGGTTGGGTTGAAGCTCATGGCATTCAATGGAGGCACAAAGAAACATAGAAATCAACAAAAACAAAACAAGATGAAACACAAGTTGCTTAAAAGAACACAAGTACATTGGTGGAGCCATTAATTGTATGAAACTAAAGAGGAGTGGGATGGATGGAAAGAACGTAGAGTGTTATACAATGCGTGCATTGATTACTTGTATGAAATCAATGCAGTGAAGAATTTAATGGAGAATTGGAAGAAGATGTGGCCAGGCCAGCCACTCACATGCTGCCAAAGCCAAGAATGAAAGGTACAGAGTTTAGTCTTAACGCGGTTTTACCCTGTTCGTCGGTGCTGTTTTAGGTTATTCGGATTCCCATAAATATTGAATTATCAATATATAAATAATACCAACTTATTTAATATATAAAATTACTTTTATATATTTAGAGGGTAAAATATCACCTAAATGAATGAAATTTGTTCACCGATTAATAATTAATATTGTCGTTGACATAATAATTTTCATGTATCTAAATTAATTATGTGTTATGTACTATGTTATTACTTTAAATATGTTATCTATATCATATTATCACTTTTAACACGTAATATATATATTAGGTTATCACTTTGAACTCATAGAATTTATCACATCAATAACAAACATTGATTGTTAGTCAATTAAAGATTTTCGCCCCATCACTATTATTTTACTTCAAAATAAAACGTTAGAAATTTAAAATACTCTAAAAAAAATAGTAGTTAAAATAATTACTCAATCATATATTAAATTTTTCCTTTATTATTATACCTTAATTTATATTTAATCATCTTGTAAGCCTATATTTTAAGACACTAATAAAATAAAATAGTATCATCCCATCGTTTTTTAAATCTTCTCGTTTGATTTTATTTTAATTAAATTATTGAAGACTAAACAATTAAAATTAATTATAAATTACTGTTAAGAATTGTTTTATAATATTTATATATATATATATATATATTATTCTGTCTCGGTTACTTAAAAGATTAAAATTATATTCTTGTTTGATTTTATTTTATTAGAAAAACTAAACAAATCATATATATTAATGTCGCTAACTAAATCAATTGGCAATGGAGGAGTCAAAGCCATTAGGAGATGACTTTTATACTGCAGGTCGTCGCTCCTTCCATATGTTTGATCTACGAACAGAATATTTGACCCATTTTAGGTTTGAATGAATTTTTTATGGTAAAATGGGTAAATTATGAATTTGGTCGTGCTTTTTTAGGTTTTACGAAACAGACTCTTAACTTCCATAATTTACAATTTGTTCAACTATGTAACTACCCTTTTCTCGTTACATGTATTGTGCTGCTGGGCGAGGTCTTCCCTCAACCAGCCAATAACATCTGATGTTTCTATATTTTATAATAAACATTTTTTTGTTCCTTCAAAAAAAAAATAATGGATTTTAAGTGGTTTTGTTTCAGGCTTCAAGCCAAGGCTTTTATCTTATTTCTTATCTTTCCCCTTCCACTTAACAGTATCTTCTTGATTTACCAGATGTTTTCTACAGCTGATATCCGAGAACCTAAAATATATTTCCTTATAACATCTAAAGTGAAAGAGTTCCACAATCTTGACATGCCTGGTCCGAAGAATGTACTTCCCTGGAGCGATTAAGGTATTAATACGCATTTGTGATATTAGTTCTTTCATCTTCGACTTGAAAGTAAGTTAGCCCTTTTTTTCTTTGTACAGGACTTGGCTTAGTCATGCAAAGATCTGCTCCCTGAGCACTGCAGAAGAATCCGACTTGAATGTTCTCCGAGAGAAAACTACCTATTTCACTCCACAAGTTAAAAATATTAAATTAAGAAGTGATGGGTCATACATAACATGTTAAAAGTATCTCCTATTCATTAGATTTTATACTTACTGCTCATTGCTTTTAGTTGGACATACTAATTTTCTAATTTAGTTTGGGTAAATTACAAAATTCACCGCTCACTTTTCTTTTTAATCCTATTGTGACTACTATGGTTTTTAAAAAAATATCATTTTCTTATTAAAATTTTAATTTCCTCTTATTTTTGTCATTTCGTCGTTAATTTCTTCATTACGTTATGATATGATATTTGTCTTTTAAAGATTATGAAATAACCTCAACATTTTTCTTTTTTTTTTTGTACATTAACAATACTTTCTAATGAATCTATCATTAATTCAAAACTAATTATTCAGTTATCGTAAATATTTAAAAAATATTATATTTAATTACTAAATTATAATTTACCTTAACCAACTTAGATTATTCTTAACTTGGGCTAACCTTCTTTTATGATAGTAAACAATAACACCTTATTATTGTTATTATATGTTATATGTTAGTCCATATCTAAAGTTCTAACATAGACACACATATTGGCAATTTAGAGGGGGCTGGCAGGTGCCATGATCACTCTAAATTGGTAAAATTAAGTCACACTATAATTTATAAAAGAAAAGGTATACATTTTGGTGTCTAATTTTCACATTTAGGTGTATTATGGTATCAAAATTATTTTGGTGTAATTAAGTACTTAACTTTGACATTTATGTGCAATATGATACCTATTCTTTTTTTAAATACACGTGTCTATATTCAGGATTTTAACATCTAGTTTTTCAATTTATAACAAATATATTTCTTTAATTAAACGAGGTTAAATTTATAAGTATAATTGAACATGTGTAATTTTAAAAATATTAAGTAGCTAATTACTCAAAAAAGAAAGCCTGGGTACCTAATTACAACAAAACAATAAAAATTGAATAACAAATGAGATAAAAAAAATATTTGTTACCTAATTGCAACATTAAAAAAGTTGAATAACATATTGACCAAGATCTAGATTGAGATTCTCCACACCAAGGATTTTATGATCTTGACCAGAAAGAGTATCGAAAGATATTAACAGTAGTGGATCGAGAGGATATTAGGATACAATCGTGCTTTCTAAAAAAATTAAATTTTAATATAATTTAAATATTTTTTTTGTATTTTAGAACGACGATTTAAATTCACATCTCTTAAAATTTTATAATTTGACATTCGTAAAATTTAAATATAATTTTTAAACTGGGTAGTATTAACTTTTAGTATAAAATCGCAGGTGGTTTCTAATCGCTGGCAAAGTGTCTCCTTTCATCGGGAATGGAGGTTTGATTCAAGTGAAGGCTGCCAATCCCCTGATAGCATGTTCCAATGGTTGAAAAAAGGTAGATATAAAGAATCAACTTTTCTAGAACTCAAATCCAGCTTTTAGATTATAATCTTACTAGTGGAACAGTATTTTAAACTTTTGCAAGTGCGAGATTAAGATTGTCCAGCCATTCATGATTAGTACCGGCTTTTATTCTATTCCAAATGTATATCATACACGATCTCTGCCGATCTTTCGAATCCCACATAAAGAAACCCTTAAAACTATAAACCAATACTAATACATTTTGGTGGCTGATTCACTTTCTTCCACTATTCTGCTTTTACCAGTCAGTATATTTGAGCTGATCTCGTGTGGATAATATCAGTCATCATTCCACTTATCTTTACCCCTATAAATATTCAACCTTCCAGTCCCATATGAACACAGCCAAAAACCCCAAAATTATACAGAAGCTCTCCCTTTCTGCAATCAAATATTACGAATTTCCCTTTGTCTTCAATGGGAGTATCAGATCATTACGTTTCATCTCTTGGTTGTGAAGTGAGAATCTTGGAAGCTAAAAACATAGAGCTGAAGTCCCATGGCAACATTTTTATCAGATACTATCTTCCTGCAGGAAACAACAAGAGGATTCAACTAAACACCAGGCAAATCTGCACTAAGTCATCCCAAATGATCATCTGGAACGAGTCATTCTCTTTGGAATGCTCGGCATCTGAAGAATCACTCAAGTACCTGAAGCAACAGACCGTAGTTTTCGAGCTCCGGAGGAAGAAGAAACTGGGGAAATCTGTGGTTTTGAGCAGAGCTGAAATGCCATTGAAAGCCGTTTTTGAATCACCAAACATGGAGATTGATGAATATTGGCTTGCCATGGCTTCGATGAATGATGGGGTTCTTGAAACTGGCCTCAAGCCTCCTTCAATACGTTTATCAATGAAAATGGAGATGCGGAAGGAGAGAAAACAAAGGTTGAAGAACCATTGGGAAGGGTGTGGGTGCCAAGGCATTGACGGAGGCTGCAACTGTGCTGCAGATTACGAAATATTTGCACTTGCTGCTGCCATGGAAGGACTATTTTAAAATGGTGGCCAGAGCACTAGGGATTTTAATATTATTTTTCTTTTTGATTTATATTTGTTTGTTATTATATTGTTGTCAAGAGATTAAGTCAATTTCTTCAAGGCTTTGAAAAAATTATAAATTTTTGGCTTAATGACTCGCGAGGCTCGAAAAAGAAAAGATAATTCACTCCTTGAAATTTTATATCCAATTAAGCCTTTAAACTTAGAAAATTAATTACTGTGATCCTTTAGCCAGAGAAAATCGTAGATGACTGCTATGACGTTGATATACTGAGTAACATACGAATATGATGTATCATAAGAGTTTAATTGATTCTTTTAGAATGTTTGAGGTCCTAACTAATTTATTTAAAAAGTTTCCAGAAAAACCCAAAATAAGAACGCCAGCGGATAGACCGCAAAGAGACTAGGTTTTCTTCGTTTCATTTTTTTTTTCAAAAGATACAAGAAAGGTAGTGACCGACGGCAACAAATTCAAGATTAATGGTAACAAAATTAACTACCAAATATAGGATTTTGGCATTCGTGTCTGGTTCTACGAAATGAAAAGCGGTGGGTTTTGGCATTCATAGCCGATTACTTCCTTAAAACCGCAACCTTGTGTTCATCCTGGCATTGCATCTCCTTACATCCAAATCCTTTGAATGCGTCTCTGCTTTGACAATGTTCCTAAATTCTGAAACATAGAGCACCCACAAAGTAAAAGCACTTTTATTACTACCGAAGCACAGTTATAGTACAAGAAACCACGTAAACATCTGCAAGCTTTCGACACGCAGTACAACAACACAACAAACAAGAGAGTAAAAACATCATTCAGTGATTTCAACGTCCCTAACATTTGGCCTCTGTGCAACATCTTTCCCGATCGTGACAACGAGCATCCCGTTGTCCGTGAAACCCTGAATCTCATCCGTCCTGGCATTCTCAGGCAGCTTGAACCGGCTCATGAAGTTGCCATTCTCGGTGCTTATCTGAAGCATCCTATCATCGTCAATGAAAACTATGACTTCATCTCTGCTAACGCCCGGAAGGTAGGCTTTGTAGACATGGGCACTTGGGGTTTCTACACAGTTGAGTTGAGTCCCAAGATATGGGAAAATTTCAGAGGAAAGAAATGAAGGGAAAGGGAATCCATGGGAGAATGGGTTTAAAACATCGACTGGATCCCATAAGTCTAGAGAGAATGGATCACTGACCCTGCCTTGTTGGCCATTGGTAGGGACAATTGACATTGTTCCGGTGGGTTAATTGGGAGCAAAAGGAGAATGCGGAATTGTAGTGATTTTCAGGAAGAAACATCAGGGAAGAGTAAAGTTTTATGCACTAGAAATGTCCAATGTTTAAGGATGGCAACTTAACCCGAACCCGACCCGATCGGGTCGGATTTTTTTTTAAAAAAATCGGAATCGAGTCAAGTTTTTTAATATACTGTTCGGGTCGGGTCGGATTTATGGTGGAAAAAATCCAACCCGACCCTATCCGAAAGATATATATAATTTTATCTTATATATTTAAGGATAATTATAATAATACCCCTCTATATATAATTTTTTTAATTAAGTCACTGTTTTTATTGAATACAAATATATTTTTTTTATTATTTCAGGTCGAATTTCTAAATCATATATTCGGATCGATCGGATCGGGGCACGAGTGGAGGACCCTTTCTTTTCGGATCGGATCGGATGACCCAAAAACCCGACCCGACCCGACCCATTGCCATCCCTACCAATGTTCATGATTGACATTTCCTCTTGTTTGGGACTTTCTAGAATCTGTGTGGGCTTGCCAGTTTCAACCTTTAACTGAGGTTAAGCCCACTCTACACCTCTCATATGCCTTCCGATTAATTTTCTGACCAAATCTTCGTTGGTTATGATTATGATCATATTTTGCAAAGCTTTGTATAAGGGTGTAAATAAATAAAGGATTCGTTTGATCAACTATTCGTGTAACATTAGTGAAGATATGAATTAAATTGAAATTTTTTATTTTCATTTATCAAATATATAAAAATAAATTTATGTTTATTTGATTTATTTATGTTCACGAATAAATTCATGTATCGACTCATTTATAAATCGTTTATCCACTTATTTATAAACTCATTTATTAATTTTTTTTTTGGTAAAAACAAAAGGCTGAGACTACGATGAACTAACTAACTACTAGTATTATTAATTCCATCCTCTCACAAGATTGTTAGAACTGCTTGTGGAGGCGTCGCCCATTCATTTTCTTCAAAGTCAACTTTATTATGCAATCTGCTACTTTATTGGCTTCCCTCCGAATCTATGAGAAGGTGAGTATGCCTTGTATCCGTCTCGTTTGTCTCTTGCGCCATCGATGTTTATTTGTCCATCCCTCCATTGGGGCCTTCCATCGATTCATCGTTTGTGCCTCGACCCATCCCATACTTCTTGCTCTAGCCGTTGATTCCATGGCTCGGATTCCCTCCATTTGGAGTTGTTTGCTTTGTTCTAACACTGATTGTCTCCCCATTTTCTCTGGGTCAAAAAACATATAAATTTCGATGTTTCCATAGGGTCCAAAACAGTGAACCGAACATTAGATCCCATTCCTTTTCATCAATTGCAAAATAGCTTGGTTGCAGTAGGTTGGTTAAAATTCACTTCTTTATATCCAAGGTTAAGAATTCAGACAACTTCTCCTGTCGAACAAGTCTCTTCCAGGCTTCCAATGCAGACAGACAAGTTCTAAAAAGATGATCAATTGTTTCCTCCATCTCTCCACAAATTCTACATCTCACTTGTGTGTCCATACGGCGTCTTACATGTTCGCTGTTAGTAGTTTTTCGTTTTCGAGTAGCCATAAAGAAATCTTTATTTTTTGTAGTCCTCGATATTTGGATATAGTTTGCCATATCTTCTCCAATCGGTCCTGAGTTATTCTCTGTCCGAATCTGATATGCATAACAAACAGTGAACTTTCGATTTGGTTGCCATTTCCATCCTGGGGTATCCATCTGCTGTACTTGTTTCGGGGTCATCGTAGCCGTTAATCTATGGATTATTTGTAAGGGTAGTGTCTCGTAGATGATTGGCCATCTCCATTTACCTTGTTCATCTACCATTTCTGTCACACTTACCATTGGTAAGTTTGAGCCGTCTTGCTGGTTTAGCAGATGATTTTTTAAAGGACCAACATCGCTTAGCCATGGGTCTCTCCAGAAGTCTCCATCACCCACCGTCCAGACTAGGCTTGACTTTACGTCGCTCCAAACCATACTCACCCCTTTCCATAACCGCAAGCAATTCTTCCGGATTATATTAACGGGAGCGAGTCACCTCCATTTATATTTTGCTTTTCCATGTGATTAAATCCAAGGCCGCCTTTCGGAGTAGGTTCACATAGCACATTCCAGTTCACCAAACTAATTTCTTGTCTCTTTTCTATTTTGCTCCAAACAAATCCCCGAATAATCTTCTCGATTTCCAAGCAAGTTCCTTTCGGTAATTGTGTTGATTGCATGAAATAACATGGTATGGAAGAAAGTACCCATTTGGCTAGTGTGATTTGACCTGCAAGCGATAAATTTTTTGTCGCCCATCCAATAAGTCTGTCCCGTATTTTATGCACTATAAATTGGTCTTGATTTGTTTGCTCGATGCTTTTTGCGAAGGACATCATGTCATCTACGAAAAAAAGATGTGAGATTTTTGGTCATTTTCTAGCCAGTCGAATTGGATCCCAATCCTGTTTGTCCACGCTTTTGCTAATTGCTTGTGCAAGTTCTCTCCATACATAATACGAAGACGTATAGAGAAAAAGGTCTCCTTGTCGGATTCCTCATCGATTGAAAGGAAGCCGAAGTAGATTCATTCCAAAAAATTTGTGTCGAAACGGATGAGAGATGTATCCTTCTTTTCCTTTCTTGGCTCGCATGGAATGCATGACTTGTGAAATTATTATGTTTTTCGTAATTGAGCGTCTAGGCACAAAGCTAGTTTGGTTCTAAGAGACCCAAAGCGGGAGGTACGGCTCAAGGCGATTTGCGATCAGTTTTGTTACAGTCTTGTAGAGTACTGAACAGAGGCTTATCGGTTTGAATTGAGTGATTAATTTCGGTCCTTTAATTTTTGGGATGAGCACAAGTAATGTTCGGTTTAGTGATTCCTCAATATTACCTCCTTCAAAGATCGCCTTAATGAATCGACAGACATTTTCACCGACCGTCGGTTAGTTTTTTTGGTAAAATAAGGCATTAAACCCATTGAGACTGGGGGCCTTTAGCAGTGCCATGTTGAAAATGACTTGTTTGATTTCAGCCTCGGTAATTGGTCGATTTAAATAGTCTTTGATCTCTGTTGTGATGGGGGAAAAGATCCTCGAACTTCATATCCATATCCGTTTTGTCCTGAACTAGAGAATAGTTCTTTAAAAAGTTGACAGCCATAGTTTTAAGTTGCTCATGATCTGAGCACCAATTCCTATCTTGTGTTTTGAGAGCCTGCAGATAGTTTGTTCTTCGTCTTTGCATCGTGCAGGCATAGAAGAATTTTATAATTTTGTCTCCATGCAACATCCATTGTTGTCTAGATTTCTGTCTCCAAAAGCTCTTTTCATGTCATAGAAACTCAACTTAATGAGAATAAAGCTACCACTTCTACTTATATCGTTGAATCTGTTGAAATGTGATATGCTAGATTAGGACACGTTAACATTATGCTTTAAAGAAATTGATGAAAATGAATGTTCTGCCTAAACTAGACTTAACTAGCTTTAACAAATGTGAAATTTGTGTAGAAGTCAAGCATGATGAATCTCACTTTAAGACTGTTTCAAAGAGAAAGATTGAATTTTTAGAACTTGTTCATTATGATCTAGCAAACTTTAAAAACACTGAAGGTAAAGGAAGAATACACTATTATATGACCTTTGTAGATGATTACTCGAGATACACAAAGGTTTATCTCCTTAGAACTAAAGACGATGCTAAAAACTTCTTCCTTATTTATAAGGAGGAAGTTGAGAATCAGTCAGATAGGATAATCAAACGACTTAGATCTGATAGAGGTGGTGAATACAAATCAAATTTCTTAAAAGATGTGTGTGAGAAGAATGAAATAATTCACGAAACTTCGCCCCTTATTTTCCTCAACAAAACGGTATAGCCAAAAGGAAAAATAGAACTTTAAAAGAGATGATGAACTCATTGTTGATAAGTTCTGGGTTATCTGAAAACATGTGGGGGGGAAGATATTCTATTGGCAAATCATATTTTAAATAGAGTACCTCATAAGAAATTAGATTCTACTCCATACATGTTGGTAATGCTCAATCCCACATTGAGTGAGAAATACATTGGGATTAGGTATTTAAGGTTTACATTCTCTACTTTTGTATTGAGTGATAGAGAACAAGAGGGTTTCTCACGCACCGCCGTTACCGCCGTTCATCCGTTCGTCTCGTCTCGTGGTCGAGTCTCGTGGCTCATGCCAATACGTGTCTTCGACATGTCATCGCGTTTATTATCTTTTTAGAGAAAATTCATAAGTATTTTTCTCTAAAAGAACAAATAAAATTGTGAAAGAATTTTCAGTCTGATATTTATAGACTACAATGGTCTGTCAGTGAAATGTTGGATGAATTTGGATTATTTTTAGCTGTGTTCAAATCTATTTATTGTACTAGTTACTCAGTAATTACAAGAGTTACAGAGATAATTATCTGGAGTTACAAAAGGCTTAGAGTTACTGAACCTCAACTGATTTGAGGCCATATTCATTTATGAGGTTGCAAGAGTTTAAGATAGAATTTTAATGTAGAAATTAAATCAGAATTATATCTTATTTACGATGGACCATTTTTCCCATGACATGAAGCCTACAAAATAAAGAGGCTATTCCAGCTTCTCAATTCACCAACTCACCCAAAAAAAAATCTCTCTCAATGCTTTCTAAGCTTCTAATTCGCAGTACCACCAGTAATCACTCCGGTTTCGGGTGTACGGTATTCGGAGCGACTGTGTTAACCTCAGGGAATGATCAACCTATTGGAGTGTTACACACATTGGGGCAAATTCGTTTTTAAGGTAGTGATTATACCACGACAATATTTCAGTTGATCAATTTTTTTTAATTTTCCAGTCAATGCTAATGGTGTGATTTTGCAATCAATACTACCAATATCCCCATTATATGTTTTGGGGATTTTTTTGTCCCTATACTCATCCTTACGGATCCTTGCAGGTTTCGGTTAATCTCATCCTCAAAAAATAAACAAACATTTTTTAAATAAATGCAACACCTAAAACTTGTAAGATATATCAGATTGTCTCAAATTG